GGAGCTTAAAGCCATACTGTGCTAGTGTGCATAGCCTATTGGCACATTATGGCAGACTTTCCTTGCAAGTGGTCCCCTCCAACACTGCAATGTTGGGGCTCACCTCCATTGCCAGTGCTTCCATCTTCTGGGTTCAGCATCTGTGGCCTCTTGATTAGTTGGGCCAGGATGATGCAACTCCTGCACAGGTGTTAATTTTATCTTGGCCCAGAACCATGCCAAGCCTGTGAACTGGGCAGAGAGGAAGCTCGGTGTGTCCCTTGTCTTCCTATGTGGACAGCCTGAGTTTCTTGTTACTGTAAAAAGAAGCTTACAAAGACCTGCTACACAGACACATCGAAAAGGTAAGAAAAATATTTTACAAAGTTTTTTTTACGCCTACATCTCGGTCATCCCAAAGGAGGGGAAAGACTGCATGCTACCTCAAAGCTATCGCCCGATCTCACTGATAAATGTTGACGTAAAAATGTTCTCTAAAATACTGGCTAACAGATTGAAACCTCTTCTGCCAACCCTGGTCCACCCTGATCAAACTGGCTTTATAATGGGGAGAGAGGCCCGGGACAATGCGCTCCGGGCTGCCCATCTACTTCACTGGTCCTACTCTGGGTCCCCTTTGCCCTCCTGTCTGTTCCTCTCTGTGGACGCAGAGAAGGCTTTCGACAGGGTGGACTGGGTGTTTATGGAAGAGGCACTGCGGAAGCAGGGACTGGGACGCACATTGCTGACTTGGATCTCTACACTATATGCCTTGCCTACAGCCAGAGTGCGAGTGAATGGCTCGCTGTCGTCGCCGTTCCCAGTTCGGAATGGGACTAGACAGGGATGTCCTCTCTCACCGTTGCTCTTCACCCTCTCTCTACAACCTTTATGCAAAGGATCAGAGATAACCCGAATATACATGGCATCAATGTTGGGAACACGGAGCATAAACCCGCGGCATACGCAGCTGACTTACTGCTATTTGTGACACAGCCGGTCACTTCTCTACCAAACATCCTTGACGAACTCAAAAATTATGGCACCCTCTCCAATTTTAAAATGAACTCTTCCAAAAAACTCTTCCAAATCTGAAATTCTTCCAATAAAGGTCCCCCCCACTCAAGCCCTCAGCTTGAGAACCAATTTCCCCTTTGTATGGGCGACCAGCAGTATTAAATATCTAGGGATTCACTTACCCTTGAGGCCCGACCATTTCTATTCTATGAACTACCCACCACTTCTTAAGCAACTGGAGAGTGACCTCAAATCCTGGGACAAAGACGCTTTCTCCTGGATAGGCCATGTGAACATACTAAAGATGTCGGTCCTTCCTAAACTGCTGTTTCTTTTCCAGATGCTCCCCATAGCGATACCCCAACAATTTTTTCGTCGCCTACGAAGCCTATTTTTGGGCTTTGTATGGCGACACAGGAGATCCAGACTTGCATTTGCCATTCTAAAAAGGGACAAACAGTCAGGAGGCTTGGGTCTCCCGGACTTACACCTCTATTACAAAGCTGCAGTCCTCCAGCGGATTTTGAACTGGCACTTTCAAGTGAAGGACAAGCTGTGGGTGGCTCTGGAGAAATGTATGGCGGGGAGAAATCTGGCGCATGCCCCTTGGTTGAAACCGGAGTTCAGGGGTCTCTCTCCCACTGCTTCCCCGCTCACCTTGCATCTGCTTCGCCTGTGGGATGTTGTTAACAAAATGGTAAAATTGGCACCAGACGTGTCACCCTTAGCCCCAGTGCGGGGATACCTGTGGTTCCAGCCAGGTGAAAACCTGAACTGCTGGATTGCTGATGGAATAGTGAATCTCTCTAAATTTCTCACGGGGAATAAACTGATGCCACTCTTGGAAATGCGTCAACGCTGGGGATCGTTACCATTTGATTTTTGGAGGCATAGGCAATTGTCACACTTTCTTCACTCACTAAAGACCTCAGTTCGCCCGTTGGACTCCCTCACACCGTTTGAGAGATTATGTAATGCTTCGGGACCGCCCCCCAGGACCCTCTCACTGCTGTACACTGAGTGGCCAGATTATTATGACCACCCCATCAGTACTTCGTTGGGCCACGAGATGACTCCACGAGATGACTTTGTTGGGCCATCTCGTGACTCCACGAGATGTTGAAAGGTGATGCGAGGAATCTGACACTGCACTGTTGCCCTTCTGTTGTCTTGTACCAGTCTTGCCACTCTCCTTTCTGCCCTAACATTGACTAATCGCTGACAGCCACAATTCGCACGTTCAGACCCAGACTTTCGGCTGACAGTCCAGTCTTTAAACACTTTAACAACAGCTGCTCTTAAACATTTTAATGAATTCTGCTGTTTTGCTGATACTCGCTCCATGGCTCCGAGCGCCAACAATCATCCCACGTTCAAAGGCTGTTAAATCGCGTTGTTTACCCATATCTTCAGAAAAAAATCACTTCTACTGTCATGGTAAACAACCTGCTTCCCTATTTATAATGGTCTGGCCCTCAAGCAACTTCAGCGCGAAATTATAGCTAATTTGCCTACAAACGTCAGGTGGTCATAATAATCAGGCCACTCAGTGTATATGCTGCTCTTTCAGCTAGACTCCCAGGGGTCACCGTACTACCTTGTGGAATGGGAGAGGGACATGCGGGTTTGGTTCACAGAGGCTGAGACTGCAAATATCCTTCGATATACACACTCTTCCTCTATAGATTCCAAAGTCAGGGAAACAAACTATAAATTACTCACCCGATGGTATCGAGTACCCCACAGCCTACACAAAATATACCCCACGGTATCGCCTCTCTGCTGGCGCGATTGTGGTGAGATGGGCACTCGCTTACATATATGGTGGGACTGTCCCAAGATCCTGCCTTTTTGGCGGGAGATACAATACCGGAATAAGACTCTCTTGGGGGTGGAGATGGCTTTCCTCCCGGCCCCATTCCTCCTGCACTCGGTTCCTCCATCTATAACTAAATACCGAACCAGTCTTCTTCCCCATCTCCTGAATGCGGCAAAACGTTGAATCCCCCGCCACTGGAAGAAGACATCTATACCCACGGTGGAGGAGTGGAGCAAACTGGTCTCGGAAGTCCAGGCCTCCGAGGAATGGTTAGCTACAGATAATGAAAACTATGCAGAACATTACTCTGTCTGGGCCACCTGGATCCATCACGAAATGAGCTCTGATGCCACCAGGGGGCAATAGAAAGTAAAAATCACGTAGTAAAAGGTATGGAAGTTATCTAGCCTTGACAATTACTGCGGTATGTCACACGATACATGGTGGTGAATTGTGAACATAACTTTGTATTGCATACAGCCAGAAAGGGATGTTCTATGGGTGACCTTTGTTTGTAGTAGACACGATCCTTGTTCCTCCCCTGAACCCCACCCTCCCTCCCATATATATAAAAAAAAAAAATATTTATACATAGGAACACAAACATATAGTGGGATTTTCTAAAATTTGACTGCAAAAGGGAAAATGCACTTTATTAGGACAGTCAATGTTCAAATCTAGTTTACAACTGATAATGGGATCTGCAGCATAGTGCAGGCAGGGTTAATTAAGGTAAACATAACTTCCCACAGCCCCCTTAACATTACATAGGGAAAGCTAGGTAGGGTTAAGTAAAAAAAGCCCCTAAAAAAAATGTAAAAAGCTATTTTTAATATGTGTAATGTGAATGGGAACATGTAATAAATATAAAGTAGGTTTTCTCCCAAATTGGCTGCAGAATTGGAAATTGACTTTAACTGCAACAGGTTCCTTAATCTTTGACACACAGGGTTTGTAGCACCAGATTCATGTATAGATACGTTGGGGAATCTGCCCAAAAATTACCGAACTGGTGCAGCTAGCTAAAAATAAAATTCAATTAACTACTAGCAAAAGAGTCATTTTACATCAGTGGTTTATCATTTCTATTGAGGGGAGAAATTACATGAAAAATCCAATAATAAAAATGATTTGGTGGAATGTAGAATATCAAGACATGCGCTTTCATAATATGTGTTAGAAACACATTCATGCAAATTAAGTTTTAATAAAAGCCAACCTGTACATATTTATCTTTTAAATGTTCAATATTTACCTTGTTATAGCTTTAATAAGCCAGTAAGTGTGGCCATGTGATAACATCGGCTCTATGTTGGTCTTATCAGACTTTAGTTTCTTGATAAGAAAAGTGTCTTAACAGCTTTAGATGAATCTAACTTTCAGCTGTCACTGAAAATAAGAACAAGTACTAATAAGAACTATGTGAATGTATTCAGTGATAATGAATTAGCTGCAAGGATAACATGTAGATGAATAACTCCAGATCTCTGGAGTAAATGTGATTTGAGAATTACCTTCAGTGTGTCAATCAGATTACAAAGCAATTGATATGTGATATGTGCAAAGCATGGCTAGCTCAACATCATGATGGCAGGGCTGTGTGACAGGGACACTACCCCGCAGGTCACATTTTCAGTTGTTTATTTTGTTTTTGTTAGTACCATTCATTAAGTGTCCTTTTTTTTTTTGTAAGAAACGTCCCCATGTTTTATCCCTTTTAAAGCAGAGGTCTGAAACTTAAACAACCTGGGGGGTTACTCAGCACATTTTCTTTTCTTTTTTTCATGGGGCTGCATAAGGAGAGACGGCCAGGGGAGAGAACTTTGGAGATATGGATTAATTAACAAGCGCTTTGATTGAGATTAAGCACAAGAATGCTTCTTAGTCAGTCTAGGTCCGTGACTTCAAAAGTATTGAAGCTATTGGGTCTGCATGACAGTCCGTTCAACTAGTTTTTTCAGGGAGAGGTCTGCAGTGGCATTTTCAATATTCTATCAGTACAGGTTTCCTTTAGGCAGCAATTCCCAGGTCCACTCACTTGCTCTGGCCAAGTGGTCTGCCTCTTTCTTTCATATTTCATTTAATATTTATTGCAGTGAATGCATTAGGAGGTGTGAAATATCACTTTTATGTGAACAAATATATATATATATATTTTTTATATACATCCTGGATTTTATGTTCTTTTGTAGGTCATATAATGGAGTTGCAACTCAGAAATGAAGAGAACCGTCTCAGATGGGATCTAACTCCAGAACAGATACGGCTAAAGACTACTGAGCTCATTGAGAAAACCAAATGCGTTTATGATATTGTGGGATGTCTTGATATAGGCTGTGTCACATATGAAAACACCTTAAAAGCTTTGGCTGATGTAGAAGTTGAATATGCAGGTAAGAGTCAGTACTAGCTTTGATTTGGTATAGATTAACATGACATGTTGGTGTTATTGACAATGTTATATTTATTTGTTTTAGGTTTAAAAGGTAAGTCAAGTAAAATAAATGTATTTGAATATAAAATTGAACAAGCTTTCTTTAATCGGTGCAAAAATATTAGTTGATCCTGCTAGAAATTGTGTGGGCTAAAAACTTCCTGCACGGTCTGCCTTTTGCTGACATTTATTAGTTAGCATTGTTCCCAGCTGTCTCTGTGGACTACAGAACACCTGCCCCCCTAATTAATGGAAAAGAGGACAGGGAGAGATGTTCAGTAGTCCTATAACCCTTGTCCTTGGGTGAAGGCAATATGCTTCCATAGATCTATTACGGAGAGGGAACATTATCGCCGTAGGACAGGAAATGTGTTACTGACAGCCTGACAAAGAAAAGTGGAGATGCACTTTAACATACTTGCCACCAGTGCTTTTCCTGAACTAATAAACCTAGCACCCTCAGGATAAAGGCAGCATTATTGGAGCTAGAAACAGCCCTTGGCCTGGCTGGGCCACCAAGACCAGTGGCAATGGCCCCTTGTGCCTATATGCTTAAAGCGGTACTGTATTAAACACTGTTTTTCAAATAATTCAAGTTAAACTTCAGTTTCCCAAGTCATCTTTCAGGACAGCAACTTTAACCACCTGAAGACCGGGGTGTTAAACACCCTTCCTGTCCAGGCCATTTTTCAGCATTCAGCACAGAGGTACTTTGACATTTATTGTCATGCAACACTTGTACCAAAATTAATTTTACATCCTTTTTTTAAAAAAAAATTTTTAGATAGAGCTTTCTTTTGATGGTATGGATTTTCTACTAGGGTTTTGTTTATTTTTTTTACTATATAAAGGGAAAAAAAAACAAAAAACACCCCAAAAACCTGTTTTCCCTACATTGTATAAATACTTTTAGGCTAAAATGCATTTAAAATGCATTTCTTTTGGGGTTTTGATTTTTTCTTGTACACTTAACTTTACTGCTATCAGCTAGGAGGATAACAAGCCTCATATGTGATCGCACAGATACAGTAACTGGTCGTGGAGATATCAGGGGTCTATTAGACACCTAATGTCACCTAGGCACCCCAAAGAAGCTGATGGAGAGATTTTGCGTTGCCAGCTTCTTTTCTGGCTACAGCAGCCAAAAAAATTACACTCTGGAAGTGATGCAATACACATCGCTTCCGCTTTTCAGTGTTTAAAGGGGAGATCAGCGAAGCCTGGATAGTCCAGCAGTGGAGGGGGGGACGCACAACTCCCCAGCACCATACAAGTGATCGGGTGAAGGGTTTTTGGTTTGTCTACACGCCAGTTTGTCTAGGTTAGTTTTTGTTTTTTTATAAGTAGTATATTGTCCTGTCTTTCAGTCTGTCTGCCTAGCCACTCCAGGACCTTGAAATGCTTCTTACGAAGCCACTCCTTCCTTGCCCGGGCGGTATGTTTGGGATCATTGTCATGTTGAAAGACCCAGCCACGTTTCATCCATAATGCCCTTGCTGATGGAAGGAGGTTTGCACTCAAAATCTCACGATACATGGCCCCATTCATTCTGTCCTGTACACGGATTAGTCGTCCTGGTCCCTTTGCAGAGAAACAGCCCCAAAGCATGATGTTGCCACCCCCATGCAAACTACATATATACATATAGAGTACACTGCAGCAATAGATTTAAAATTCTGACCCGCTAACATGAATAGGTTAAATCAGTGGTCCCCAACCCCCGGTCCGCGGATCAAATGGTACCGGGCCGCACAGTCTCAGTTATGGCCTGCAATATGGGGCAGTGCAGGGTCCCGGTGTTCGAACACCGGGGCCCCGCACTGCCGACGGGCTTCACAGTGAGGGGGCGGGTCCTGTGACTCACCTCCCCTCCCGGCCGCGTCCATAGTAACAGGAGGCGGGAGGGGAGGAACGGCAAGAAGAAAAAAAAATATAGAGCATGCTTCGGCGCTAGGTGGTATCGGGGCATTTTGACAAGTACTTGTCAAAATGCCCTGTAGCGGTCCTGATACCGATGCTTGTATCGGGACATCCCTAGTAAATCTTATACTTTAAGGTAATTGAGGGTTTTTAGTTTTTTTTTATGGTAGCTAATTGGGCAGTTTGATGTTAGCTTCTATGTTTATTCTTTCTCTGCATCTTCTTCATCTTACAGCTGCCCACTAAAGCTAGTCAAAAATCTGTGTAATAGAACATTCCTGTGTTTTTTATTTAATTTCTACGAGCTCCCAAGGGCTTGAATAAGAGATCCATGAGCTCAGCATTTGTATAGTCCGCTGACTGCTCAGTAAACAGTGACTGTGGGAAATTTCCGGCATTGTAGCTTTGCTGAAAGGATTATTGTGAAATCTATAGGGTAATGGTTCTATTCTGTATTTTTGTGATGTGCACAATTACTGCTCTGGTTTTGCTCTGTGTCCTTGTATTACCCATAAAATAAGTCTGTTTACTATTGCAGTTCAGAGAAGTATCCTGGATTTCCCTCAGCACGTGTCTACAAATAAAGATGTCCGGACTGCAAGCACTGAAGCCGATAAGAAATTGTCTGAATTTGATGTAGAGAAAAGTATGAGAGAAGACGTCTATAAAAGGCTTGAACGTTTGCAGGTTAGCTCTGCATAATCGATGAACTTATCCATATTGTTGACCCCTCTCCCATGTGCTTGTGGTTTCTCATATGATCTCAGATTTCATATGCGGCCCTGTTTTATAAAACCTGGTTTTAGTGTCTCTGTACTGTTTGGGAGAACACTAGTTTTGTCAGCTGAGAAAAGGTAAAAGACCATAAGATGAAGACTAAATTTTAGCTTGTAAAGGAGGAGTCAAGCTGGGGTCCTGTTTAGGTAAATGCAAACAGTATTTGAAATTTCCTATTTTTTAAAAAAGTGTTAATCACCCTATTAAAGATTGTTATATT